CAGTTGCAGTTCTGATGTCTTGTCAGTCCGGTTTGCCAACAGGCTGCAATACGTATCGGGGCGTGGTCGGTAGTGTTAATTATGTGTTCTAGGTTTTTCACCATGTGTAAAGAAGCTGCCAAAGAACCAGCAAAAGCCCCGGTGATCGAAGAGATTGATACGCTTCCAGATTTACTTTTATTTATCCAGCTGAATAATAATCCTCGTATGTAATTTGATAATACAATTTTGTAATATGGAGTTTTTCGTAAGAGTTGATTAGTTGTTGAAATTTAGGTGAGATCAGAGAAGTGGTGGCGAGATTTATGATGAATCCATCTTTGTCTGAAAACGATCGAGATCTGATCAGGAAGAAAGTGATGGAGAAGATTTCGGCGGAAAGGAAGAAAAGATCTCGGTACAGATTTACTTGTACTTGAAATGTGATCTAGAGGTAAGTATAGAAAGAAGTATTCCTGCACTACGGAAAGAGACGTATGAAGGGGAACTATGAAGTGAGTTGTTCACCAATCATTTCATTCGCGGTGGAGAAATTCACAGGAAACGCGGTGAATTAACGGGCTAGTTGATGATAAGAATATTCGCTTAGCCTAGAATAATCGCAACTATCATAAATTTGCGCTAAAAGTGTTTGGATCTTCTTGAATGTTCCTTTTTTCATGGGGTTTTTCGTCTCATAATGACGACATCGTTCAAATGATTATTTATTAGTTGCGATAGGTGAACTCGATTTTTTTTTCGCTAGGTTATGCTCAGAATTTCAGGCCAAACGATGAGGCAGAGGAGGGCACAAAAGAGGAGGGATTGAAGGAAAGTGGAAGAGAAATGAATAGTGGAGAGGATATGATGGACACGGATGCCATAGACTTCGAATCTTTGAATAAACTTTCTAGCTTCGTCGGCGAAGGTGCTCAGGAATTGTTGAAGCAGGTAAGTATAGCCTCATTGCAATGGCGATGCCGCTTTCATTGCCGTATTATTGATTTGAAGGCCGGGGAAGATGTTGAATCCCCAACAGCGCAACCATCGACACCACCTCCACTTCCTCCAGCGCTTACATTTACAGACCAGGACGAACAGGACGAGCCGTCAGCCGATGTTGATGAGGTCGGTTGATGTTATGTCAGCGGCATGAGAGGAAGGCTGACTCCTCTGCATACTCAATTTATTGTGTTTTTCTAGGTGATCAAAGGTGATCGAAAATCCATCAGTGAGATACTACCTGGACCACCTCCCGTGCCACCAGTATATGGAGATTCATCAGATGGAGGTTGGTGTGTATAGCATTGATCAAGGATAAAGCATGAGTGGAAGCATGGTGTTATTGCTTAACATCAAATTATAGAGTCACCACCTGAGCGCGACGATGTTAGATCTCCAGACTCATCTAGTTTCTCGAAAATCCAGACTGTTAATGTTCTCCCTGTGCCACCACCTCCTCCGGTTCTACCAAGTCGGTTTTGCACTTCTTTTATTTTAACACATTCACGACCGCCCTTTCCCCACTTTGCAGTCACGCGATGACGAACGGAGCGCCGCCGCCTCACCTCACATCCGTGGATTTTGTATTGTAAATGGACAAAAACGTCAATGTCACAGATCAACTTTAGCAATGTTCAATGCATAAAGGTTATCTGAGCATATAGTGTAAGACTTCGATTAAAACCGCAAGTCTTGGTAATAAAGGGAAAACTAAATTGGAGTTTAATTTTATTACGTCTGCGAAAGTCACAATTTAGAAACAGCACAACACGACTAAGAAACTAAACTGAACATGAAACATACAACGAATAGATAAAACTACTGAAATTGTAGGCGTCGACTGTGACATTTGGTATCAGTCTCATAAAGCGCTAGATTGCTTCATACCCCAGCCATTATATTGGCCACACGATGATAAAACTGAGCTAGTGACAAGCTAGATGGTATGTTTTTGGCTAGCTGCAAGTACCGACTACCCGCTCTGAAAGTAAAGTTTCTTGCATGCAGGATTTGTTTCAGTTCGCGCGAGCGAAATCTTCTTGAGCCCTCCTTCTTGTTATTCGCTCATTCACTTTACCCAAAATGAAAGCTAAAAGCATTTCCAATTTGATTGTTTCGATTTAACAACTTGTCTTTCCATCATAGCGCTTTGTCTTTCCTTTTATTCGTCCACATGTTTATGGCGATAAAAAGAAAAGGAGAAATTAATTAAACCAAAAATCTTATACGGCTCAGAAAAACTTTCTCAAAATAAAGCATATGTAAACTTTCAATGAATCCTGTCATTTGCGTTATGTATGAGCCCCTATTTCGTTCAATAATGTCAGATATACTCCAAAAAATGAGGATTGACAAGTGATTATTTGCTGGCAGCCCATGGGCTGCCATCGTCCCACGAGTACCGTTCTTTGGCAGGCCATATGGGTAGGGGTCGGCGTGAATGTGTTAATTTTATGTGGACTCCAACTTCTTTTTTTTGAAATTGTATTGAGATACGGTTTGAATTTTGTTAAACATGCATTCGAGGGTGATTTCGGCTGCATCCCTTACTTTACATGAACTTACAGAAGCAAAATGTAGGCTGGTAAAATCAGATTCACATTTCAGATCAGCTGCACCTTGCTGTACCTCCGCCACCTCCTCCACCGCCGCCGCCACCAAAGGGTGCCGCGTCCAACGTGCCCGATACAGAAGCACAAACCATCACAGCACCACCACCACCCCCATCTCTTAGCTTTGGTATGAATTGATTGTTTGTAGCAGTTATTCTTTGGAGTCATAACCAGTTTCATTCATTTGCCCCCTTTTCTCTGGAGCTTTCTTTAAAGACTACAGTTTCAGGAGTGACGACAAGTAGCGCTCAATCTCAAATTCCACATCCGCCTGTGCCTCCCAGCATGTTCCGTCCACCGCCAGGGATGATGCCAAGTTTTCCACCACCGCCATTCATGAACGGGCCACCACCTTTGCCAGATTGCCGTTCCCCACCGGCCTCCATGGGCAGGTTGCCACGAACAATTGCCTCCACCCTCCAGGCTGCCAATCCTCACAATGTAATCTGCCACCACCACCTGTTATGAATCGTGACCTCCACAGCATCTGACCAGAAATCTTTTTTCCCTTGTACGCCTCCGGCTAAACCAGTTCCTGGCCAGGCCCCACAAATGGGGCGAATGGTGAGTTCACGTACTTTGACGCTCTGAGGCAGATCTTCAAGAAAGAGATACGATTTTAGGACGACCAGCAGAACCATCCAAATGCAGCCAGTGGAAATTTACCATCTAATCAAGCACCACCAAATTTCCCAAAACCTGGTACGTGGAATCACTCACTACGTGTGACACTGTTAGGTTGTTCCAGAATTGCAAAACTTTATTAACAGTTTTTATTTCAGGTGCTCTCGTGCCACCTTTCCCTTACATGGGGCCATTTGCTCCACTTCCTAGTCAGCTGGGGCAGACGGATAACTCGAAAAGGTAATTGTGATTCAGTTTCGTGCTTTTGGAATGCCTGTTTTCGACGACGTAATTGAGTAGCATGGTTGATTGATTTATTAGGTGCTTCATATTATTTAGTTATTTGGCCAAGATTCATGAGCTTTTTAGTGTATCATTTCGGTTCCTTGTGTAATCGTAATAACTTCGTATTCTTTTTTTCTTGATGATCATTGAATGACACTTAACCTCTGCGCGTATCAATTCGAGCTAATTGCATGTTTTGTATTCTGCTGCGTGTCTCTCCCCGCTCCAGTTTTTCGAGACCTCTATTTGTTATTTTGTAACTATCATGAATCAATGGTCTCGTTCTTCATTTATGCTACACTCATGACTTTTCTTTTAAGACAATATTGTGATGTTTTAGTGCTCTTCCTACCGGAATCATATCTTCGCTTGGACGACCTCTGACAGAAAGAGATAGAATACCACGGACACCAACACCACGTAAATCTTGTTCTTTTTGCCTTTACCTACATGGAGTAGTGGTTGTTGATATTTTAACATCCGAGCACCTTTCGTCAAGTCAACGAACTGCAAGGACGATCTGGTCCTCGAAATGGGGTATATTTTCAGCCGTTTGTTTGATTGGATGATCCCTCATATAGAAAATTCCATGCATTTTCAGCCCTCGAACGCCAAGTCCTGACATTTCGAAGAAACAGCGTGATGCGGAGATTGAAAGGCTAAAAAGGGATATTGAAGAGCAGAAACAGCGAGTTCAAGCGAAAGAAGTACCCACAGCAGTATGATAATCTCAGTTTTGCTTATTTTAGCAGGACAAATACGTTTTTGTTCCTGCAAGTTCCTTTATCCGTATTTTTAGGTTCCTGAGAGCCAGCCTGCACAAAGTGGCTCCAAAGAAAATGTCTTGAAAAGTGGTGAATCTAGTGGAGGTAGTTTTTCGTCCGCGCATTTTTACTATTGTGTCGAATTATGCCTTTTTATTCTAGATAATGGTCTGCCTTGGCATTCACGGAAAGAAGGGACCTCCTCTGATGCTGTGGAACCTTCTTCATCTAAAAGTTCGTAGTCTGTCGAACTCTGTATTGTGTCTAAACTGGCACAGCCTTCATCATATTTTTAGGCAAGCCTGACAACGGTGCTTCGGAGAAACTCGATAACGATGCCATGGATATCGATGCTGGAGAATCAGAAGATGAACACGGCGAAGGGGCCGGAACGCAGAAGCATAGCCATGCAGGAGGAGGAAATCATTGGAACGAATGGGCTGGTGTGTCTCCTGGTCCAGGAATGCGCGGTCGACCTTTTGGTGTAGCGGGAGGTGCGTATTTATAACAATTTGAGTTTCATCAGTGTTTATTTTTGAACTGAGTTGGCCACTCCTATGGAAAGTTATTGACTGGCGGGTCAGACTTGTTTCATACAGAAAACCATGAATTGGTTCTAACTTGAGAGTTTGTCATTCGTAGGGAGTGAGGGTACCGGTTCGTTTTCCTCTAAGGGCACATGCGAAACAGAAGACAAACTGCTTTGGGATGCCCCCTTTAATTAATGTTTTGTTTCATTCTTTGTGTCAGTTTCAGTGAGATTTACTTTGAGAGTGTGTTATTTGTTTTGAAAGGGCT